TGCTGACCTTTTGAGGCAGCATTATTTATTTCTCCTGGTAAAATACATGGCAAAATTACCATGGGGAGAAAATCCACCTAGGGTTAGGGTAAGGTCTCTATAAATTTGGAGTCCAAAATGGACATCCTCAATGGATTCAAAGAGCTTGATTATGCTTAGGAAGATGCCGAGTTTTTGAGCCAGCCTTATCTACATTTCCTGTTAAAACAGATGGGAAAATCCTCTTGGGGACAAATGTTTATGAAATTGGCTATGAACTAGGTGTTGCACAATTATTTTAAAAGAGAACAATATGTAAAAGTACGTAACAAAAAACCCAATCTTTCAAGTGAGTGATATTTTCTATATGGCAGTGCTTCCCAAACCTAAAAATTGCCCCAAATTAGGTAAAAGTGTCAAATCACAAATAAATAAATACTTTCTGCTAAGGGCTTTTGGATAATGTAGGAAAGAAATTAGAAAAACTGGCAAGTTGAATCAGTACGAGCATTATTTTAAGGAGAGAAAATAAAAAGAAGCAATTTCATTTAGTTACATAAATAATTAATAGCAAATCTAATAGCAAACAAAAAAGAGGATCCTTTCATTTTGAGTTGGTTGGTCGGTGGTTAGGGTTGTGTGTGGGTTTGGGGTTTTTTTTTTAATTCCATTGCAGGATCATTTACTCACTCCTTCAGAGTAGCCACTAAAATATTCTCCCTAAAATAAACTTTAATCTACTACCGGTACACATACAACTTTGAAGTTGAAAGTCTTAATAGATCTCCAGTGTGCTTCATATGCATGGTTTCCTTCTGATAACAGGTGCTGGTTATAAGTGTGAAGTAATTTAAATGTGGGCTAGCATAAAAAATTGAAGAAAATTCCCCATAAATAACAAAAGCTAACAATTTTAGGGGGTTTCTGTTTCAATTAGCTCTTTTAAGACAGCAGCAACTTCTATGTGGCATTTCGTTTTGCTTTGTTTGCTAGCCATGTACATATAACAGTAGATTTTGAAATGTGCATGCTGCTTGTTTTTCTGCAAGATCAGATCGCACTTGCCCACATCAGAGAAGCCAATGCCCAACAGCTCCGCAGCAGCCTGAAGCAGACCATTTCCTCCTTCTTCATATTCCGGATGCCTTACAACCACTCACATTTCCTTTGGGGATAGGGCATGGCTAACATTTTGCCTCACCACAGAAGCCATGTATGCCCTTCCTCCCCTCCTTTGTGATTACACTACATCTCAAACTGTGAGGTAGCTGAACGAACTGTACTTTTAGAATAACCAATTAATATGCAAAGGAAAGCAGATTCTAAACTTATAATTTGCCACAGAAGATAGTTGGCTCCAAATATTTTAAAACCACAGTATCATACATAGTTCTGTGCTTTGGTACAAATTTGGAAACTAAAAAAGTTTCCTATGAACTGATTAATAATTTGTAAACATCTAAATAGCACCTTAAGCATTCTATGAGTCACCTTGTAGCAAGAGGGACAGCAAATATATCTAATAAATAAATAAAAATAAATATTACAGTTGTCTCTAAAAGAACAAATCTTATTTTTAATATTATAAAAGAAAAAATATATCACAATCAGGTGGATCAGAAATTGCTATCTTAGTATCAAAGTTACATTGAATTCTCCACCTGTAGAATGATACCAATTAAAGTCCTAAAGATGCTTTTTCCAAAACGTTTCACTTCTCATCCAAGAAGTGAAACCTTCTCATCCTTCTTCAGTTGTCAGAATGAATTACCTGGATATCCATCTAAGTAAGTAGTTCTTATACTGTTTAAGATAATCAACTCTTTCCTGATATCAAATAAGGTCATTACCCATTTGCACCCAAAAAAATCTTACCCAGACATCACTTTATAAAAGCATCTGAGAAGTAGCAATCCCAAACTGAATCCCCAACTCCCGAAGGATTTACATCTTTAAACAAAAAGAATTCTACATGGAAATGAACCCAATGTCAGGTACAGCCTCCTTAATTGTCTTCTCAGCATTTAATCTATGCTTTATTAATATTCAAGGTTATGATAAGAATAATTGATTTTGTGTGGTCAGTACTGGGAGCCCTTAAGAAGAAGGGAACTGCAATCAAGATAGGGAACAACTATTACCCTGAGGAGAAAGGATCAAATTAGGATTTCAGTGCTTCAACATTTTATACTTCCTGGATAACAATGGTTTAGTCAAAAGGAGTTCTATTTCACTTGAAAGTGAAGGTTATGTTAGCTGCTTTTATGGCCCCCGAGGGAGGTAAAGAGGTGAGAGGACTGCTACTTACGGCTGAACAAATAGTTTTGACTGCCTGCCTGTTCTCACTGTCAGAACATTTTGAAAATAATATGCTTAGGGCCATAGGCCTCAAGGAAGAAAATGAGATAGAGATAAGCAATAAAAGAAATGTAGGTTACAAACAAGAATTCTTTTGGATACAAAGGAAGAAGGTAAGAGGGAGGGGGGGAAGCTAAGATCAAAACAAACACGGGGGGGGGGACTAGGATATTTACATTTACTAGATGAAACATCTTTCAGCAAAGCAATAGAAGTTGCAGAATATTATGCAGGTAAAATATATGACAAGACATCAAGTTGGGTTTATTGGGGACAGGGGTTTAATTGAGTTTCATATTGGGGTTTTATTTCTGTAAGCCACATGGCATCGCTGTCAGTGAGTTGGCAACCATATAAATTTTCTAAATAAATACTAAAGGAAAATGGCACAAATCGGTTATCATTTTAACAGGTCAAACAACTAGTAAAAGAGTAGATGCTGCTATTAGTAACATCACTTATTTTTCCTTACAATTCTTTTTTTTGAAAATCTGCTACTTTTATGCCATTCTGGATTTTTTTATTTTTGTGTTATTTCATTTGCATAAAGCTTAAAGAGATTATTTTACAAATTATTTCACACTTCTAAATAATAAATATCTAAATAAACTTGAATAAATGGACATTGATGCACTTAGATTTGTAAACGGCGTTTTCTGTCTTTTTGTAATTGGATTTTTGTTTGACTTTGGTGACAAAGAATTTAGAGACAATACGGTAACACTGAAATAAATAAAATATTAGTTCTTCTATCTAGTTATTGGAAGCAACCTCAAAAAGAATCAAAAAGAGGGTCTCCCCTCCTCTTCTTTCTCACTCTTTCTCTCTTTGAATTTATAAACCACAATTCTATCATGCATTCTCATATCCTAAAGCAAATTAAAAATAGCAAGAAATACGTTATATCCAGGGGTAGGATTCAAAAATCCCAGCAACCTGTTCGCTGCCCGATTGCTGGGTGGGCATGGCTATGGTAGGTGTGGAATTTGGGGAGGGGGGGGCATTTTTTTCCTTCCCCAGGGTTCGGAGGCTTCCCTGAGGTCTCTGCAAGGGCGAAAACTGCCTCCCCCAGGCTCCGGAGGGCCTCTGGAAGCCAGAAACAGGCCTGTTTCTGGCCTTCTGGAACCTCCAGTTCGGCCCATTTTTCACCCTCCCAGAGCCTCTGTGCAGGCCCTGCACTTACCTGCATCCAAAACAGGCCGCATGGAGACTCCTGAGAGGGTAGGGGCAGGGTGGGAAGGGTCAGCCAGTCGGTTCAACTATCGGTTCAGCAAACCAGTTGTAAATGTAGTATCAGGTTTCGCCCGAACAGGTCTGAACCAGTAGAATCCCAGCCCTGGTTATATCCATCCACACATCCATCCTTAGCATGAGCTACAAAACTTCAAAAATGATTCCAAAATCACAGGAGAATAACTGATGCAGAATCACACAATAAACATTATGGTTTCATAAAGACATAACCTTATGTCTCCTTAGCCAACTTTTCTACCATAAATTGGCTTCGCCATAAGATCTAAGAAAATGCAAAGTTATGTAATTTTAATTATGTTAGAATCTTAATTATGATTGCACATGATTTTAAGTAAAGCTAAGAAGATAGTTAACAAATTGTGTAGTATGTATACTTTTTATTAGCAATTTTAATTCACATTTGGCTATTCCTCACCACCTGAAACGCTGCTTTAATCCACTTAGATATATATGCATGCCTTTGTATTATTCTAAGCAAAATCAAACTCGGATTTTCTGCTGACAGAATTCCATCGGTTGATCATTATCTCATTTCTGCTTTTTTCCCTACCCCATTCATCCAAATGTATCCTGGAGATGTCCACTGAATATTTTGAAGAGGGATATACAGAAAGAAACTGTCATGCCCCTGTCGGAATCTGATTCCAAGGGGGAGGCCGAGCAGCTGACAGGGAGTGGGAGTGTGGCTCCTTTGGCTGTGAAAGAAACTGGGGAAAGACAAAGTCCAGCTGGGCAGAGCAGTGGAGAGGTAGAGCAAGGCAGAGGGAATTCTGACGAAGATCCAGGCCCACCCCCTCTTCATCCTGGGGTATGTAGGGAGGAACAGAGAAGGGAGCAACATGAGTTGCGTGGCTTACGGGGGAGGAAAGGGCCCTGATTTCCTTCATTAGTTGCAGCTGGGAACACTTAAAAAGGGAGATTGCAAATTGTTGAGAGCAAATTGTAAGTTGTTGAGGCTTATCTGGGCTCCTGGCATCTTTTCAACTGTGTGTGTTTTGCTGGCCTTTCAAGTCTGCAATTCCTTATCCTGCCCTGTCAAGTTAATTACTGCAGCATGGTTTGTGTGAATTTTTATTTACAGTTTGTATGTACTTTGTTTTCGGACTGAATTTCCTCCATTTAAAGACTGTTCTTGGGAGAGTTTTCTCCAGTCGAAGGTAACCTGGACGTTGGGGGCAAAGTTGGAGGTATTAAAGGGACTCTTCTTACTTATGTTACTGTGTTGCCTTTGTGCCACGCCCAGGTCATCCCAGAAACACTATGTGAGCAGAATGGGATTATATACTACTTTCAGATGGTTTTAAATACCCAGCTTCCATATTCAAAGCAGACCCAGGTAATCAAACTATGTACAATAAAAAATGGGAAAATACACTGTAATTTTCGGTTGTACAAATATACTCAAATACCTGAGTAAGAAGCTGATCATGTGTTAAATTATTGATCCACCTAGTATAGCGCTCAGTTGCTTCAGCTGGTTCTCTCTTAATTTGGCAACCTATAATCTGAAAATAGAAACAAAAACATTTTCATAAATGCAGATAACACAATCCAAAATGGGAAAGGTATTTAAGAAATATTCTGAAGAGTTTTCTTTTTTTTAATTCTGTCTTTGAACTACAGAAGATTGCATTAAGATTCTGGCAAATCAGATTCACAACATTGATTTTTATTTTAATGGACTCAAGGTATTTCCGTACCTTTCACATCATAGTGTAACATCACTATCTCTATAATAGTTGCAATATTAGCTGGAGAAAATGAAGGGTATGTTTTCATATTCTGTTCTGTTTACATGCCTTTTCATTTCTCTTCCTTTTTATTACAGTAAGCCACCTATATCGGTAGTAGCCCATGATGAGATAAATGACAAGTAAATTTAACAAATAAATATAAAAATAATTTGAATTATTCTGCATACTATATATAAGTAGTGTTTACTTTGTATTATTTCCCATCATTTACAAGTTATTGCACATGACAATAATTTATTAACAAGTTATACAAAATCTTTTCTTTCCAAAATTAAAAACATGGCAGATTTGACTAAAAGTATAACAGTAACTGAAACAAACTTGATTTGCTTTCTAAGTAAATAACACTGCATCTGTTTCTATCAATTTTCACTGTTATTTTCAATATTTTATTCTATGCTACCGTTTGAATTTAATTACCATTCTATATTACTATTTCACCCAAAGTTATGTTAGCGGCAAATCTGATAAGCATTTACTACACTTAATAATCCCAATAATAGATACAAATATTGAGGTGTATCAAGGATTTAATATTGCGGTATTCTTCTTGAAACTTCACTTGTGTCAGCCAGCTACTATATAACTACTTAACCCATTACCAGTTCACATTTTATTAATTGGTTTGCTTATTAAAATGCTAGAGAATATTCTATTAAATGTATCTATCAGAGACTATTCAGAACCTGACCAAGTAAATAATCATTTGCAAAATAATACTAGCTCAGAACACCTGCACATTCTTCCTGTATTAGGAAAACCATTAGTCAATTCTCTTGTTCTTTAAATAGTTTTTACCAAGAGAATGAAGAAGTCCCTGCCCTAATAACTTAAAAATAAATTGGGTGCTAAAGTGAAAGTATTCAATTGCTGAGATTTCTAAACACCAATCCCTCTTCTAATTATAAAGGACTACAAGAATCTTGTTCTCTGTTTCAAAGAGTTTGAGAGAACCCCTGACATCATGGTATGTTTCTGATATCAAGGTATGTTACATTCTGCACCAACTTTGCTTGTTGGAAGCTTTCTGGAAAAGATGCAAATAGCAATCACATGACCCCAAGATGCTGTAATCATTGTGAATACATGCTGGTTGCCAAGTGCCCACATTTTGAAGGAGATGCTGTGATGGTCATAAGTGTGAGGAATGGTTGAAAATCATATTTTTCAATCACTGTAATTTTGAATGGTCACTAAACATGCAGTTATTAAGTCAAAGATTACCTGTAGAATTTTCATCCTCAGTAAGTACTGGGGTTACAAATTACAAACCACCAAATGTAATGAACTTCTGTTATTATAGTACTCTAATTTGACGTATCAGTTGCCATCAATCCATCAGCTATTAAATAGAAATACTGAACCATTGAAGGAAGGAAAGTGGAAGGAGTCACTGGATAAGAATTATACTAAATATTTATAATAAGAAAACACACTGCTTGTTCATATTCCATCAGAATAAGGCTTCTATGATATCTTATCTATTTAAAGGAGCATTATTTTAAGACGTTTCTAAACTAATGGCAGATAACTTGTTTTCATTTAAGAATGAGATATTGCTTGTACCTAAAATGTTTCTTTTCTTTTACTTCCATTTTTATTTCATGAGTTATATAAAATAAATCTGATGAACATGAGGTACACAGGGTAATTCAGAAGAATAGATGAAAAAAAATACGAAGTGCTAGGCAAACACAATTCTGTTGATCTGAAAGGCATTTCTTTACAAAAAGATAAGAAAGCTTAGCCTTTGTACACAAAGCAGACTGACCGGGCCAAAGCTACACAAATACAAATTAATGAACAGCTGCCAGGAGGTGACAGATTAGTCTTAGTTCTGCTTTTTTAAAGCCACATTTCCAATTAAAGTACAGTACAATGTATAAGCTAGTCCACTCCAAACTGTGAAAGACGTTAATGAAAAAATAGCCAGGTTGTAGCCATGTTTCTATCTTTGAAATATCAAGAAATCATATTAAGGCTTCTAGAAAGTACAAGGCACTGTTTTGTTTTGTTTTTAAAACAAATTTTATTAATTTTCAAAGACAATACACAAACAAACAAAACGTAAAACATAAGAACATAAAACATCTTTTCTAAAAACCGCTTACTGTTTTAACAAAACAAATAAAACATCTTACTTAAGTACAGCATAGTTCCAAAATTATCACATTTCCATAGAAACACAATTTAATATGCATCATCTTATGTATTCAACTACATATCTTATTACTCTTTTTCCAACTTCTCACTATTTCTTCCTTTACTTCTATTCAAATTTTATTCATTAAACTTATACTTTCATCTGTCTTATTTACAATTTCATATGTTCTCATCCAACATTCTTCCAAAATTTTATTAATTCTCAATAAACAAATATAAACAAACAAAACACGTAACATGAAAACATAAAACTTCTTTTTAGAAAGCGGCTTAACCCCGGGTTACATCTTTTTGTACAGACATAAATCAAATTCATGCTCACCTTCTATACTATTTCATATCTTATTTAACATTCTATATATTCTATATGTCTTCTCCCCTCTTTTCACTCTCTTAATTCTATTTTATTTACTTCATCTCAATTTAAATCATTATACCTGTATGTTTTGTCCGTTCTTTTTCAATTATCTATTTATCTTTTCTCTTTAATACAAAATTTTTCCTGTAATCACTGGTTGAAGTATGATGCCTTTCTATCTTTTCCTCAAACTTAACACTTAAAATAATACATAATTTCCATTCTGATTCTGCTTAGTACATTCTACGTAACATTTTAAAATAAAAACATAATAAGCTTATAGTATCCATAACAAACTAATTAATTAAACTCTATTATTAAATCTTAAACGTTTTATACATTCCCTATAATATTCTATTAACACATATAATATTCCAATTTTCTAACTCTATTTCAAATACAGATACTACAATACAATATTATGTACTTTTGCAGAATCTCTTTTTAAATTGTGTTTTACCCTTTATCTCTAAAAAAAACTGTTTTTTAACATCTTGTTTTAAGCCTTTATAACTTCTCTTCCCTTTTTCCCTTCCTTTCTTGTCAAATCTAGCCTTTTTATACCCCCATCTCTCAATCTCCACCTTCTTAGTCTCCCCTCTCTGTTGTATTCCTCTTTTCTATTGCTTTCTGACATTACATCACTTTTTCACCTTATTTTTCCCTTTCTTGGTTGTTTTTTTAAATCTTGAATTCTCCATTTTCTTTCCCCCTTTTCTCTTTTCTTCCTCAACTAAAGTTATTTGTCCATTAAAGATGGCTTCTTCTTCTTCATCCCAACTTTCTTGTTGCTGTATTTCCTGATAAGTAGAATTCGCCATTTCTAAGAAGTGAAAAACAGATCCAGAAGAGCCCTTGCCTTCTTGTTCCTCTTCTTTTAGCTTTTTAAATTCCATTTTCAATTCTTCAACAGATAATGCCATTGTGAAATTTTTTTTAAACAGTCCAAATGTTTTTAGTCTTTCAAAAAATAGTTTGCAAAAGTCCCAAAGTCATCAAGCAATCAAAATCAACACAAACTGTTTCATTTAGCACTTTCTTCTTTTAGTACTTTCTCTTCCTGGGGTAGAATTCAATTACACAGTTCCAAAATAATTTCTTAGAAGTCTTATTGCAGTTTAGTCTCTGATCATATAAGCTCCAAGCAGTCTTCTCCAGCAAAATCTTAGTATAAATCATTTACCTCTCCCTTCCCACTTATAGAAAAAAGATTTTAATTTTTAAATGCCAGTGTTCAGAAATCTTTAATGTCCCCTTCGCTTTAATTTTCAAAATTAGTTACCTTCTATTGACAAAGTGGGTTTTTCCGATTTCCATCTGCTATCTCCGTAGGGAAGGAGAGTGAGAAACTTTCCCTTTTCACTTTTATCCGGAGCTTTTTACGATCTTCTTGGGAAACAATGTATCATTTAGAGAGCTAAATTTCCACGGTATTCAGAAGTTACTTGTTGTCCTGGTTCAGCCAAAAACTTTCACTTTCTCAACTTCCTCCTGCACAATCTTGTCCGGCTGAAAGGTTCTTTGTGGCAGCCATTGCTGACCGCCGCTCCACTGCCTTTGGAAAAGGGAGTTAAGCCGGCTGAGGAAGGGGGTTGTGATGCCCCCAGACCCCTGTCCGGATCTCCCCTGTCTTCAGTTATCTCTACAGGATAACTATAGCCTCCAAATCCAGCTGGATCAGAGGCACTCCAGCGGCAAGCACAGCAGGAACTGCGCACAATCGCAGATTCCTGCCGCCGCCAAAGCCTGACGAACCGGAACTCAGTACAAGGCATTGTTATCCACTAGCTGTTTGTGAGGTAGATGAACTAAAAGTAGCTAGGTTTTAAGAAAAGCGAATATCAGAAATTTCTATCAAGTATTCTTGCTGATACATTTCTAAAGGGCAGAATATTCAGAAGAAAACACACTTTAAAGCTTGCTGTTTCAGAACTTATCATAAAAAGTTGCTGAATTGTCAATAAACAAGATTTACCAAGCATAAAGTAGTGGACAAGGAACACAACTCAGAAATATTATTTGAGCTCCATAGCTTTCCCAAATGAAATTCATGTGGGTATGGATGGGTGCACGCACGCATGTGCACACAGGCATATATCTAAATAGGTATATGGCATCACAATGAATACTAATTTCCATTCTCTTCTATTGAGCAGATCTGTAAATATGTTCCATATAGTCCACCATTTTTTTCTCTCGTCTAGTTATGTCCATTTTCAATTCATATATT